AAAAAAAAAAAAGCCCAGAAGATCTGTTAGGATTATGGAAGGTCTTGCATGCACAGATGGTGACCTGGAATATAATGTCATAGATACTGAAGAACTATTACATATTTTTGAACATAATGAATGTAATGTTTTAGGAGGAGACTAACACTGGATAAAAAGCATAATTTGGTGGGAAGTAAAGAGATGCTTGTGTGGGCCAGCCCATAAAGAGGGTGATTGTTGTAAACCAGATCCCAGAAGATAAGGAAAATGGAGTGTTGGCAGGGGGAAAAGAGAATGACTAATTATTAAATATTAGGAGAGAAAAGTGAAAGGTTTTAATGGCAGATTGGCCAAAGGTACTAAGAGGAAAACTTTAGAATCTGAGTCTGACATTCTGGATGATTTTGAGCTATACATAAAAATTGTAACAATCTGGAGAGAGGTTGTCAAAAATTAATAAGGCAGTCAGTTCATTTTCAGGGATTATGAGTTTAGGTCATTCTGAACTCCCTTTCTTCGTAACAACATACACCCCCCTGGTCTCCGTGTCCTGTTGATCTTAAAAAACACATGAATCAGTCCCATCTACTTTATTATTTCTCATATTCTTGTATAGCGCTGGTCACCTTTCACCTGGCCTATGGCAATAACAGCCTGAATGCTCTCATTACATTCTGATCACTTCCCTAAAGTCTGTTGTTTTGCTACAAGGAGTTTTCTTTCTAAAACCTACTTCTAATTATGGCAGCTTCCTGCTTAAAACTTAAAAATACTTCCTCACTGCCTTTTTTGCAATATTTTACTTGGTATGGCCTTCAGAATCAGAGCAACCATAGTTTGTTGTCCAAATGAGACAATAGGGAGATTGCAAGTGGGCATATTAATGATTACACTGGGACAAAACGTGTATGGGCTCTGCCTGACTTTCTAGCCACATCCTCTTCCAATATTGCTTTCTGCATGAGCAATACCAAAATAGTTAGTGAGCAAACCCTGCTCCAAAGGTCCTTACTCTGTGTTGTTCACCGCTGTTTGTGTTGCCTAATCCACTGCTCAGCATGTCATAGGTACTCAATAACTGTTTGCAGAAGGAAGAAAGGAAGGGAGGGAGGAAAGCAGGAGTAAGTCAATCAAAGAATTTTAGAATTGTTTTAGTCCTGTGTGTTGTTGTTGAAATGAAGCAGAATTTAAGATCTAACATCTTTGGAGAGAGGAAGCTATGGAAAGCCAAAGGGAGGCACAGAGAACGTGGAAGAGGCAGAAGGAAAAGGGAGGCGGAGAATCAGACCTCCTACTTAATATTTTAACAAGTGACAGAAGTGTGAATTCAAGTGCACTTTGCCAAAGGACTCTACTACTTGTGTATCAGATAGATTTTTACCAAAAATAGTTCTTCATTTTGGAAAGAGACCTTGCAAGTTCATTTTAAGTGTCAGTATGGAGCTGTTTAAAAAAGTTTTCACAATAGTATTTTAGAAGTTCTGACTACAAAGGAGATATGAAACGTCCATTTTGTACTTCTGAAAACAGGTACAGTCTCTGTGAGAAAAAAATAATGTGTCAGGAACACGTGAAAAAAAAGGAAAACAATGAGAAAGAACCTACGTATAATTTAATTACATGGATGTAGCTTTCTATACAAACTAGATTTGATGTAATTAAAACACCTGTAACAAATAAAATGAAGCAGGCACATCCTTTTTCCTGAAATAAAGGAAGACTTGAAATCCCATGCTATTTGCAGGAAATTTATACTCTCTGTGCAAAACAAGTGTGTGTGTGTATGTGAGAGAGAGAGACAGAAAGGAGAGAGAGGGACTTTCTCTGATCTCTTAGTTGATAGCCCAACAAAGCAGGCAATATTTATGGCCTTTCGAAGTCTCTTACAGTAAAGAGATAGTATGTACAAATAACTGTAGATTAAATATGTTTTTCAGTGATCATGAGCCCCAGTGTATGTAAACAAACATTACTTTTATTTAATAATTTTTTGATTGTTTTAGACTTTTCTCCAACTATAAAGCCATAGCAGGAACTTGCTATCTTTGTTTGTTAGATCAGAAATTCTTACAGAGTAAGAACCAAATCATGAATTTAAATATAGAGAAAAAGGATGCTCATTCTAACAAGAGGATACTCTCCTAACAGTGGTTTGCCAGCATTTGATATATTACTGGGGCGTTAATCTGGGGAGCCATTTGTTTTTGTGCTGTTCTCATGTAGGATATTTCATTCCAGCTATCTATGAGCCTTCCTGCGAAGCATACAAACACCTAGGCCAGACATCAAATTACTACTGGATAGATCCTGATGGCAGCGGACCTCTGGGGCCTCTGAAAGTTTACTGCAACATGACAGGTAACTCTGCCATACTTATGTTTCATGAACATTGCTTTTCTATATGTTGAGAATAAATAGTACCACTGAAGTTTGTTTCTTCTGTGCTTTATTCCTATCATGACATGTGATAAGCTAAATATTGCTGAATTTGTTAGGTAAAATGATGAAATCTATTTCTAAAGCAATAAAACCTTCTGACTGACACTATTTTTTTGAACCCTACCTTCTGACTTGAACAATTAATAATTAGCATTTTAAAAAATCAATACATAGGGGGAAAAGTGAAATTTCAAAGTTGAAGTCCGCAGAAAGAATGGCCCTGAAGCAGCATCCACGAGTAACCTAGACGGGGAAATTTAATTTCACTGCTCAACTATCTCTATTGCCCATGTTAGAGGAACTTATAGAGCACTCCAGACCTTCCTCTGTTCCCCATGGTGGTAGAAGGAGGCTTTCTGGGTACTGAAATGCCATTCTGGCAATCAGTAAAACTTACCTGCCACTTTCATGAAATTTATCTGGGGTTTTCTACTTGGGAAGGGAACCTAGTTTTTCTTCACTTCTATATTAAATTTCAGGACTATTAAATGAGATTGTGGGTTCCTATAAACTCCCACAGCAGTGTGTAAGATGTACAGATCTCTAAGATAAGAGTGCATTTTCCATCAGATACTTGGCAACGTCTTACCCTCCAAAAACCTGGAGAAGGGTGTGAGGCAGTGCACTATTGACTGGCTCCAGGAGAGGGTCAGCATTTGATGTGAACTCCTGAGGCATATGATGAGAACGACAATGATTATATGATGCTACTGGTGATGATTGCTACATGGACTGTTGACCATGTGTCAGATACCATGATAAATTCTTTACTCAGACTAGCTGGGTTTGTATCCTGGCTCCATTAATCACCAGATGTATAATCTTGGGCACCTTATTAACTTTATTAAGTTCAATAAGCCTCAGTATGTTTATCTGTAAAATAGATTAATAATAATATCTACTTTATAGCATTATTATATGAATGAAATAGAATCTACGTATCTTAGAAAATTGTTTAACACATAGTCAATTTTCAGTAAAGGTTACCTGGGAATAAGGTATTATTATTTTTTAAAAGATTAGAGAGTTAAATAGCTTGCTTATATCATTCAGGCAAGATTCAAATTCAAATCTATTTGAGGCCAGTGGTTCCTAAATCTGGCTATGCTTCAGAATCATTTATGGAGGGTTTTTTTCCTTTCCTTACAAACTTATTGGCTTCACCCCTGGAGACATTGAGTCAGTAGATGTGAAGTGGAAATAGGATTGTGCAGTAGAATTGAGAACCTTAAACAGTGCTGTAGGCCAGCAGACCGCAGTGGAGAACTTTCAGCAATATCAGGAAGCCAGGCTTGGCACAGAACGGAAGAGAGGATGATGAGGACATGAGTATAGTGGGAAGGCGTGTAGAGAAAATGGTGAAATGGGATCTATCATCCCCCAAATTCCTCCCATACCAAGAACTCTAAGAGTACCCCCAGAGAAGGAACCAACTCACCAGAAACCTTAATCTAAGTGTTCATTGATTGTTGGACCTGTCAATGCACTCAGGCACTTTCTTGTTAACCTTCATTTTAATCTTATCGAACTAAAGGATAACCTATGAGAACTTGATTTAATCTGTAAGAATCTTGATTTTGGTTTCTCCTAATATATATTTATTAGGAGATAGATATGTGTGATATATATATATATATATTACAATTAAAGTCAACTATTAACCTCAAGGGAAATCAGGGTATCTCGACTGGGCTTGGACAATAAAGAAGTTATTTTAGTTATTTTCCTGTATGCATCTCAAAGGAGGATTAGAAAATAAAACCATAATATATACAATCTTCATGTGAAGAACACACTCAAAATGAAGGGCTGGTTTACTTTCTGTGAATTGAAGCCTTCGCTCAGAAACATAGATTTCATCTTCATCAGTATCTCCCTTAAAGAGTAGGACTACAGTTTAATCCAATACTTTAGATGCAGTCTGAGCAGGGAAGAGTACAGTACAACTTTCTGCAGTTAGAATGTTTTTCTTCTATCATTCAAGACAGTTCTGTGCATCAGTGTGTCAGGCACCCTTGAAGGCCAGCAGGCACTTTTTGCCTTTTTGTCACCCCTTAACCCTTCCTTCATCTGGAAAGAACATGAAATTGACATCATTAGGAGAGTTTGGTACCACAAAGCTTGGCTTGGGCTGTTCCATTTCCAAGAGATATATGTTGAAGAATAAGAGGGAATGACAGCATGAGATATTCTATGAAGTCTTGATATATATCACATTATGTCATGAGGAAGGGTATATGTGCCCTACTTTATAACATTTCTATTGAAGAAAAGAGGTGTCCCATTTCTCAGTGACCCAGCGTAATTGAGTGTTATCACTATTGAATATATCACATATTTTAAAAGCAGGAACAAGACATCTTCTCCGGGGAAGAAGCAATGTCTTGGCAGTGATCAACCTCTTTTTCTTTCTTCTACTAGGGTAGGGCAGGATGGGGGAGAGCTTTTCACTTGTGCACACATAGTGAAAAATTCAAGACAAGGGACCTCGCCAGTAGGTAATATCTGATGTAAACTTGGGTAGAAACTGAAAATACTCTGTTGAAAATTACTTCTTATTTAGATCTATTCTTTGGAATCCTAAGTTTTTAGTTCACTTACTAATTTAACAAAATAAAACAAACAAAATGAAAACACCATTAATTTAGGGCCTAGCAAGAAGAAGGGAGTCTCCCCTGATTTTTCGGACAAGAAGTTCCTCCAAATAATGGTAACTCACTTCTGTCAACTAATATCTCCAAGTTTTATTTGTTTGTTTAACATTATCAAATAAGTAAAGTGTTCCTCATCTTATCCTTATTTTGTTTCATGTTGTATCATAAGAGAAGACTTGAAGTTCACCCCTGCTAGAATATTTTATTGTTCAATTCAGTCCAAAATTTTAACCTATTGATATCTCTTGGTCACCTCAGATAACTGTTTGTCTTTCACAATACCTCTTGCAAATAATTCTTATTTTCATTCCCAATACCACCATCCTGATTCAGACTCTCATTTGTTGGGTTTAGACTATTCCAACTGGTCCCTCCAACTCTACTATTTTCTGATTGCCCCTACCTCCAGGCCAGCTGTCAGCAGGCTGCTAGATAAATGCTCCCAATATACCACTGTGATCATGTGATGACCCTGCTCCATACTGACCACTGATTGATGGGAAAGGACCTCAACTTAGTACGACTTTCTTCACATTTAATACAAACTTTCTATCACTGCCCTTTTTCTACCCTGTGTCCTTGGGACTTCATTCTCCAAATACACTTTGCCTTGTTTCGCACTAAATTTCATGCCATTTTCCCTATCTATAATATCCTCTCTTGAAACTCTCTATAGAAACTTACTTATCTCTCAAGAGTTGTCTTGAATCTTAAACTCCTCCATGAAGCTCTTCCTCATCTTCAATATACCCTATACCACCGAACAACCATTTAAACTCTCATCAATCAAACCCTTCCCTCTTAGTAATCCTCATAGAGTTGTGGGTTTTTTCCACTTCTATGTCACTTGGCACATCTTCTTTGCATTTTGGTTATTTGTTTAAATACCTTGTATTAGTTTCTTAAGCCTACCGTAAAAAATTACCACAAACCAGGTGACTCAAAACAACAGAAATTTAATCTATCACAGTAATTGAGGACAGAAATCTGAAACCACGGTATAGGCAGGGCCATGCTCCTCCTATAGGCTTTAAGGAAGTGTGGTAATTCCTGACAATCCTTGGTGTTCCTTTGCTCGTAGATGCATCACTCTAATCTCTGACACTGTCATCATATGGCATTATTCCCTGTGTGTCTCCTCTGTGTGTTCACACGGCTTTCTCATGAGGAAACTTGTCATTGGATTTAGGACCCACATTCATCCAGTATGACCTCATCTTAGCTAATTACATTTGTAAAGACCATATTTTCAAATAAGGTCATGTTCTGAGGTTCCACGTAGACGTGAATTTTTGGGAGACACATTCAAACCAGTACATGCCTTATCTCCCCCAATTCAGTTATAAGCTCTTCGAAAGAGCTTCCATTTTTCTATATACAGATAACTCAAAAATATACACTATATTATTGACGTGATATTTCAAAATCTTGATTCTGTCATCTGTGGTGTTACAGGTTGAGTTGTGTCTCCCAAAAAGATATGGTTACATCCTGCCTCTCAATAATGCAGAATGTGACTTTATTTGGAAATAGAATTATTGCAGATATAACTAGCTAAGTTAAGATGAGATTACACTGGAATAGGGTCCTTAATCCAATATGACTGGTGTCCTTATAAGAAGAGGGAAATTTAGACACAGACACACACAGGGGAGAATGCCATGTGAAGATGGAGCCAGAAATAGGAGTTGTGCTGCCGCAAACCAAGGAACACAAGGACTACTGATCACAATCTGGAAGCTCAGAGGCAAGCACAGAACAGATTCTCCCTCAGAGCCCAGATGGAACCAATCCTATTGACACCTTGGTTTTGGACTTCTAGCCTCCAGAACTGTGATGGAATCAATTCCTGTTGCTTAAAGTCACCTAATGTGGTACTTTGCTATGGTAGTCCTAGGAAACTAATACACATGTTATTGTCTCTTCTCCTCACTTTCATAAGGGATGACTGTCTATTCATCAGTAAATATGTAAAGTTTGAGAATTTGTCTTCTGAGAAAATAAAGTAGACATACGTTTCCCTATTTTTCCCACTAAGTACAACTAAAAACTCTAGATATTATAAATAAAACAAACATGAGAAGATTCTAAAAGGCAAAGAAAAAAAGGCAGACCAGCTAGTCTGGCCTTGGGATCCAAGGAACAACACTGTGGTGAGTTCCCTTAGTTTTTTTCTTGTCTTGTATATCCCAGACTCAGAGCTGAAGAAGTTGGCAATCTGGAAATGCCAATGTGTGCAGGCAAACAAAGCCCCAATGAAACCTG